CCCCAAAACCCCAAAACCCCAAAACCCCAAAACCCCTCAAGCTCCTCAAAATATTGAATTTCATCTATTTCTTATTAATCTTGTTCAGTCTTTGTAAAGGTAATCTATCCATGCTTTCTTTAGTGATTGATGAAGTCCAGTGATTGAAAGAGTCGCTTGGCCGAAGAACTATACAGAGATTTTAGGTGGATCAAATAAACCATAAGGGTCAGCAAAAGACCAATGGAGGGAATTAGGACACTTACCTTTAGGAGACCCGAGGGAGGTTGGAGCTGTTGGCTTCATGAGGATTTTACCCTTTTTGGTTTTTGTGAAATTGAACTTCTTGAGGTCTCCAAGAGAGATATTTGAGAGACTCCTGTTTGATCTTGACGAAGAGTTTCGAGAGCTTTGTCTGGTTTTGAATTCTTTGTGGATTCTACTCCATGCGTTCTGGTTTCTAGTGCTCATTCTTGAATCAGATAAGGAATCATTATCACGCTCGACTGGGGTATGTGCCCTTTTTATTTTAATAATCTCATCGGCATCATATGGCTTCTCATTCAAGACATTTACAGGGGTCATACTTCTTGGTATATCTAAGGCAATTTCCTTCTCATTCTGACTACAAAGCTCAAATTTCTCATGGCTATCTCTTTGAGTAAGCTTTGTTTTAGTTTCCTTGAATAATTTCTTAAGGTAACTCTTCATTTCTTTCTTGCTGATCTTCTTCTTGGAGTAATTTTCTCATAGCATCATAATATCAAACTCAAAGTCTTTCTCGCTTCTCTTAAGAGATCTTTTAGGAGACTTTGAGCTTAGCCTGGAGTCTTCCTTTTCAATCTGAAGGATTTCCTTTTGCTTTCCATCAAGCCTATGAATATTACTCTCAGCAATACGGATCAGAGTCTTAATGTATAGTAGGATTTCTTTTGACCCATTTCAGATCTTCAAAAGTCTGTAAAGTTTCCTTGAAACTTCGAATAGCTTATCCAAGGATTTGTGATGATCTAGAGACTCATTTAGGAAGTTTCAATAGGAGAGCAAGAGTTTTCTGATTTTTATGTCTTGCTCTTCTTCACAGTTCACCCTCACTTTTTGTAACGACTCTGAAGGGTCTTCTAAGTTATTTATGATGCTTTTAAGCTCTAGCTTTACCTTCTTGCTGCCATCTAACTTTTTTGATAACTAGCTTCTTCCTTGGCTTGAACATTTCTCTAGACCTAGACTTAAGCTCAGGTGTTAGTTCTGGCGTTAATTCTAATTTTGGTTCTGTTTGGTACTGACCATCCCCAAATAAAAAAATAGTATCTGATCTTTGAGCCAATATTGTATTCCCTGTTGATTTCAAATAAGTACTCTTAGTAGGAGACTTCTCAGGAACCCATCTTTCTCTTACTACATGAATTCTTTGGTACGAGCTAGAGTCTGGTGCTTCATTCTAAACTAACTTACAGATATATTTCGAAATGCTGTTTCCTCATATAGCACTTTGACACTTTTTTGTTATCCGAATTTAGCAGTTATAATTTCAGGATTATTCTGTAATCAACTCAGAAAATTGGTGGACCTGCTACTGCCTTTGTACATATCCTTATGCTTCTTTCTATCAGATCTTGGTTCATTTTCTAATTTTGGAGTTTTTAGATTAAGCCAGATTTGGCCTCAGGTAGCATTTGTTTGAAACTAACTTTTATTCATGCTTCTAGAAATTAAGATGTTAACTCATTGCTTGCTTGTCTTTATGGAGGATGAGATACTGGGCTTTGAAGGTAGTGAAGTCTTCTTTAGATATCTATGTGATTAAATCATAGTTTGGTTTTTTTGGATTAAAACTTTTTGATTGATTAATCTGAGTATTTCCGTTTTGATATTTGTGGTATTTTGATCCTTTACTGCAAATTAGTTAATTAATTTACAATTAAATGGCTTCTTTGTTACTTTTTGTAGTCCTCATCATTTACCGAACTTGGAAAATACTTAAACTCTTGTGAGATTGATATTAGGGCCTATAGTTTACTAGAGAGTTTTATGGATCAGGTTTTTTCTCTAGATCTTAGCTCTTGATTTACCAAATATGAGATTTCATTTGGCGTTATTTCATTAATGATTTGCTTGGAGATTTACTTCTTTCATCCTCGTCACATGGTTCAGATTCACCTAATATAAATTGAATAACTCCAATAATTCTCAAAAAGCTTACATGTATCTTCATCATATCAGTGTCTATTAACGCGTGCATAATCGTTGTATCACTATTCATAATACTCCTGTGAAAAATAATGATGATTCTCTAATGCTCTTGCTCGTTGATCATACAGTCCTAGTCTTCTGACTTGCTTCTTCTCTAGACTTCATGGCTCATCCAATTACCTTCGTTCTCAGGTGGCTGGTACTCGAACGTAGCTTGCTTATCTGACATGTTCTACTTTATCAAATAAATTAAGCATGAGCTAACACTGAATATCTCCTTCGTCTATTGTAGTTGTTCTTCAGTGAATCTATCTAGTTTGTACAACATTTGTCTCCTGATGAATAGACTTGAATCCTAAAAGGTTAAGGTAAAACAAATGCTCTAAATAAAACCAAAGATATCTGTTTTGAGTTCAGAACCTAGAGTGGTGATTGCACAAACTTACTTGAGGATCTTGATAGTTTGGATAGATACAGGATCGAAATAAAGATATCATCCTAGGAAATCTAGAGAATTGAATGAAATACAACCTCTTTTCTTGAGAATGAAATCTTATAACAAAAGGAATGGATAGTTGATAAGGTAATATGTGGATTCTCAGCAGGATCAATTGATCTTTTCTCAGATTTATCAGCTGAAATTCCTGCTTTCTTATTAAGTAGCTTCATTATGAATTCACCTGAGATTCTTTGATTGAGTCTTAAAGCAGTCATTAAGCATTTCTTTGCCATTCTGACAGCATAGATATTTTTATCCCAAAAACATAGAATTATTTCTTTGATGCCGGTATGATAACAAAGGCCTTGCTTAAGTAAGTTAGAGTTTACTCTTTTAAAATAATAACAAACCATTCTTTTAGCATCCAATTTGGATTGGTTGAATATTGGTGAAAGAAATCTTTGATTCCAAGAAGACTGATTTGGCTTCTTTAATCAGTTAATTATATTTCAACTTACCGACTAATTTATTTAAAGTATTACTGGTCAAAGCTGTTCTTTGGTCGAATATATCCTTCTGTATAAAATTTTCATAACAGAGGAAAGATGATTTGAAAATTAGAGGGCAGAAATATAAAAGAGATTATCTAAGGAAGAATTTTTCATTAGTTCTCAAATGTCAATGGCATTGGCATTTGAGAATTTACATATCTTTGTCTCTCAGACCTCAAAGCATCCCGTTCTTAACCAATAGCTGGTTATGTTGCTAGAAATAGCATTTAAGATCATATAAAGAGAGCACTCATGAGTATGATCACGAATTTGTCAGTCTCTAAAGGCTTCTTGCTGTCAGGGTTTGGAGGGAGCAATTAAGTTAGCTCATCAGACAAATCAGTTAGAAATTTAGAGGCCACGTCACTTCTTTCATGAGGGTTAGAGATGAAAATAGGTCTATTTAAGTTATATTTCAAGGATAGTATTACGATATGGGGTTTTGGGGTTTTGGGGTTTTGGGG